GCTGTCTCCACCATTTTGGCTAAAACCATCACTAATTCTGGCTTTGAAGATCACAACACCAGGCAGAAAGATGAGGCAGTGGTTGCTATCAGGGGCACCCAATTCCATCATCCCCATCTGCTCGTTGATTCAAGTGACGTTCTGTGCAGTCTTGTTGGAAACCTCTCCCCATTTTGTTGACATAGATGCACATTCTGAGCCTACACTCCTTATCATTGTGTGCAATAAGGGCTCTGTCATTATGTTCTACCTTTTCTTAGGATACTAGGGCTCCTTGGCCTTTGCAAGCTTCTCCTTGGCTTTCCTGGCCGGAAGCCTGCTTGACACTTTCAATGAAGCCAAGCTGACATCCAGCGTGCTGGTGTTCTGTAGGGTCTGGATCACCTTCCTCCCTGTGTGTAACAGCCCCAAGGGGAAGGTCATGGTGGCTGTGGAGATCTTTTTCATATGGCTTCCAGTGCTTGGCTACCAGGATTCATCTTTGCCTCCAAGTGCTATAATATTCCCCTAAAGCCAGATAGGAACACCCTTCCAGGATTAAGGGTTAAAAGAAATTCTGGGGAAAAATAAATATTCTAAGACTTTTCTTCATAGATTTCCTGAAACATTTAGAAGACTTTAAAATTAAGTGATACCTTAAAGAGTTCTTGCCCCACATCTTGCCAAGATACCTCAATGTTCTAACATCATTTCCCCTGATTTGAAACATCATGGTTATTATATATTAAATACCTATATACAAATATGTTTTCTGGACTCACTGTTCTTTCATTGATTCCTTCTCTGAATGTATACCACACTGTTTTAATATCCTGGATTTCATAGCATGTTCTGACAGCTGATACCACATGCTCTTCATTGTTGCTCTTTTTCAGTGATCCTGTTTTTATTCTTAGAGATTTTCTAGATGGTTTGACTTGGTGAATTATCTTGTCCAATTCCTTAATATATACTAAAAGGTTTGGATTGAAATTGCATTGAATTTAAAGATTAATTTGAGGAACAACTGATTTCTTTGCAATAAAATATTTGCCATTCAGGAAGCTGATTTACGTCCATTTATCTTAGCATTTTCATTTTATTTATCAATGTTTTATTATATTTTCTGACTGGTTATTTGCATTGTTAAGTAATGTGTTGTTTTTTGTACAGTTCTTGAGGTTACTTGTTAGTTCTAATTATTTGTGAGTTGATCCTCTTGGATTTCTAAAGTGTAAAAAATAACGTAATAAATGTTTCTTTCTGCACAAGATTTATCCTTACTCCTTTCTTCTTGTATTAGTAAGAATCTCTGTTACAGTGCCTAATAGTAGTAGTAATTGTAAGCTTTTATTGTTCCCAGCTTTAGCGAAAATGTTCCTAAGGGTTTTTTTCCTTTAAAATTTATGTTTGTGGTAAGTTTTTGATCATACCATTTTTTTAACTTCCATATGAATTGTATTTATTCTTCTATTGAGGTAACATTAATTTATAACAATTATGTAAATTTCAGGTGTACATCATATTTTGACTTCTATATAGACTACCTCATGTTCACCACCAAAATTGTAGTTGCCATCCAAATGAATATCTCATTAATGATGAGAATTCCCTGTATTCAACCCAAGCTGTTTTTTAATATAAATTTTTAAAATGTGATAAAATACACATAACATAAAATTTATGATCCTAACCATTTTAAGTGTGAAGTTCAGTTCTGTTACGTACCTTCATATTGTGTGCATTCAGTCTCCAGAACTCTTTTCAACTTCCCAAACTGAAAATCCGTACCCATTAAACTCCCCAAACCCTCCTTCCCCAGCCTCTGGCAACCACCATTCTACTTTCTGTCTCTATGAACTTTATTACTCTAGGTATCTCATATAAGTGGAATCATGTAGTACCTGTCTTTTCATCAATGATTTATTTCACTTCACATATTGTCCTCAAGGTTCATTCATGTTGTAGCGTGTCAGAATTTCTTTTCTTTTTAAGGCTAAACAATATTCCATTGTATGCATACACCACATTTTGCTTCTCCATTCATTCATCAGTAGACACATGGGTTACTTCTACCTTTTGGCTACCGTGAATAATGCTGCTATGAACACGGGTGCACAAAAATCTCTTTGAGATCTTGCTTTCAATTCTTTTGGGCATATCCAGAAATGGAATTGCTGGATCATATGGTAATTTTATTTTTAATTTTTTGAGGAACTGCCAAACTCTTTTCTATAATTACTGTACCATATCAGATTCCCACCAACAGTGCACAAATGTTCCAATTTCTCCACATTCTCACCAAAACTTATATTCTGTTTAGTTAATAATAGCTATCCTAATGGGTATGAAGTGGTGTCCTATTGTGCTGTTTGTTCCTTTCTTTTTATTAAACTGGGAGATTTATTTTTTCTTGTATTATTGAGATATAATTGACATATAACATTATATTAATCCAAGGTGTACAACACCATGTTATGATATGTGTATATATTATGAAGTGATAACCACAGTAAATTTAGTTAACATCCATCACCTCACAAAGTTACATCATTTTTTATTGTTATAAGAACTTTTATGATCTATTATCTTAGCAGCTTTCAAATATACAATATAGTATTGTTAAGCATAGTCACCATGCTGTACGTTACATCCCCAGAAGTTATTCATCCTACAACCGGAAGTTTTTAACTTGACCACCTTCACCCACTTGCCCCACCCCAATCCCCTAACTCTAGCAATGACCAACCTGTGTTCTATATCTCTGAGTTCAGTTTGTTTACATTCCACATATAAATGAAATCATACAGAATTTGTCTTTCTTTGACTTATTTCACTTAGTATATACCTTCAAGGGCCATCCTTATTATCACAAATGTCAGGATATCCTTTCTTTTTAGGGCAATATTCAATTGCATATGTATATATATATAGCACATATTTTTATCCATTCATCCATAGATGGGCACTTAAGCTGTTTCCATGTCTCGGCTATTGTAAATAATGCTGCTATGAACATGGGATCACAGATATTTTTTGATATAGTACTTTCACTTCCTTTGGATATTAACCTAGGAGTGGAATTGCTGGCTCATATGGTAGTTCTATTTTTAATTTTTTTGAGGAATCTCTATTCTGTTTTCAATAGTGGCTGTACCAATTTACACACCCACCAACAGTGCACAAGGGTTCCCTTTCTCCACATCCTCTTCAACAATTATTATCTCTTATCTTTTTAATAATAGCCATTCTGACAGGCATGAGGTGATATTTCATTCTGGTTTTGATTTGCATTTCCCTGGTAATCAGTAATGTTGAGTATCTTTTCTTATACCTGTTGGCCATTTGTATGTCTTATTTGGAAAATTGTCTAATCAGATATTAGGGTTTCTTTTCTGCTGAGCTGTATGAGTTCTTTGGATTTTTTGTATATTAACCCCTTATTGGATATATGATTTGCAAATATTTTCTCCCATTATGCAAGTTGCATTTTCATTTTCTTGATGGTTTTGTTTGCTGGGCAGATGCTTTTTAGTTTGTTGTAGTCCCATTTGTCTACTTTTGCTTTTGTTATTGCCTTTTCTTTTGGTCCCAATCCAAACATTCATTTCCAAGACCAATGTCCAGGAGCTTAGCTGTTATGTTTTCTTCTAAAACTTTTATGGTTTCAGGTCTCACTTTCAAGTCTTTAATCCAATTTGAGTTGATTTCTCCTAATCATATCCCTAATTATTAGTGATGTTGAGCATCTTTTCTTGTGCTTTTGGCCATTTGTAAACTTTGTTTGGAGAACTATCCATTTAAGTAATTTGCCCATTTTTTAAAAGGTTGTTTTATTCTTGTTGTTGTCTTCTGGCCATTCTTTATATAATCTGGATATTAATCCTTATCAAGTAGATGCTCTAAAGGTATTTTCTCCCATTCCACAGGTGGCCTTTTCACTCTACTGATTGCGTCCTGTGATGAACAGAAATTTTTAAAATTTTGATGTAGTCCAATTTATCTATTTTTACTTTTGTGGCCTGTGTTCTTGTATTATATACAAGAAATCATTGGGCAAATCCAATGTCATAAACCTTTCCCCCTATGATTTTTCCTAAGAGTTGTATAGTTGTAGCTCTTACATTTAGGTTTTTGATACGCTTTCTGTTAATTTTTGTATATGGTGTAAGGTAAGTGTCCAAATTAATTCTTTTGCATATCAAGTTTTCCCACCACCATTTATTGAAAACACTGTCATATCCCTATTGAAGGATCTTGGCATCCTTGTTGAAAATCATTTGACCATATGTATGAGGCGTTATTTCTGGACTCTCTATTCAATTTTATTGGATCATATGCCTGTCTTTATACCAGGACCACATTATTTTGATTACTGTAGCTTTGTAGTAAGTTTTGAAATCAGGAAGTGTGAATTCTCCAGTTTTATTTTTTTCAGGATTGTTTTGCCTATTTGAGATTGCTTGTTTCCATACAAATTTTGGCATAGGTTTTTCTATTTCTGAATAAAATGCCACAGGGATTTTGATAGACACTGCATTGAATCTGTAGCTCACTTTGGGTAGTATGGATATCTTATCAACAGTAAGTCTGCCAATTCATGAGCCCAGGATATCTTTTCATTTGTTTATGTCTCTTTAATATCTTTCAGCAGTGTTCTATAGTTTTCAGTGTACAACTCTATCAGTTCCTTGGGTAAGTTACTTCCTAAGTATTTTATTCTTTTTCATTTATATTGTAAATGGAATTAAGTTGGGCCCTTACCTTACACAATATAGATATAATAGTTAACTAAAAAGGTATCAAAAACCTAATGTAAGAGCTAAAACTATAAATCTCTTAGAAGAAAACATAGGGGGAAGTCTTCATGACATTGGATTTGTTAATGACTTCTTGAATATGACACAAAAAGCTAAGAAAACAAAGGTAAATATTGATAAAATGGACTACTTCAAAATTTAAAAACTTTTGTTCATAAAAGACACAATCAACAGAGTGAAAAGGTAACCTATGGAATGAGCTAAAATATTTGTAAACAACCTATCTAATAAGAAGTTAATATCCAGAATATACAAAGAACAATTACAATCACATAGTGTTACATCTCTTTTCAAGGGGAGCCCACACACCACTGTATTGTTTACATTTAGCAGACACTGGCATTACACAAATAACCATCTAAAAAATTAGCTTAGATTGTTTCAATTTCAAATAATCTTATAAGATTCCTGACAAGGCCATCGTTGTGTGTGTATACAGAGAGAGGGAGCAGAGGAACAACCACCTGTCTCTAACTGGGATTGTGAGCCAGCTGTTTAGGCAACACCTTTGTGTCTCCAAACAACCCAGGTGTGGTTTCTGTAAAAACTAATTCTCTTGACATTAGAGTGTTAAAGGGAAAATCCAACCTTTGGGCAAGGTGTGGAAGATGACCCCCAACTCATGATGGATAGCTCACTTTATTACAGAATATGAAAAAGCTGTTTCTCAAAGGGAAAATACTTACTTGTCAAAGAGAGTACAACTTGGCTCTCAAACCTTAAGTATTACTCTTTTGAAGATTGTCCCAGGGCTTCACGACATTTTTAATAGTAGGGGAAGCAGGCTATAAAAATTTTTCCCTCACTTTGGCATCCATCAGACCACTAGACCCCAGGAAAGTTCACAGAGATGTCAGGCTTCTGCATACACATGGGATTAATATCTGACTATCTGAGACAAATGATTCTTACCAAGCCATCCACTATATTATTCATTTTTATAATATCTTCCCCTCTCTGAATTAAATATCATCAATGTCATGTGGGTTTGTAAAACAATCAAAGTCCCTTTTACTTATTAATCCATGCAACAAATAATTATTGAGAAATTTATTTCATGTCAGGCTCTTTCCTTGACTCTGGTGAGACAATAGTACCCAAGTAAAGTCCTTCCCTTCAGGGAGCTTACATTCTAGTAAAACAGACAATAAATATAATATTATATTATATATTGTGCACCATCATGTAAAGTAGTGTTACAAATTAGAAGCAAGGGACAGAAAACGAAGAGTGCTATTTGGATAGGGTACTCAGGGAAGCATGTTTTGTCAAGGTTACACTGAAAAAAAAAGATCAAAAGGAAATGAGAGAATGTCTAGGATTTTCAAGGCTTGATCTTGGACTTCCCAGTCTCCAGAACTGTGAGAAATTTATGTGTGTTGTTTAAGCCACCTACTCTATGGTATTTTTGTAATAGCAGCCTGAATGGACTAAGATAGTACACTATGGTGCTTAGAGGCCTGAGACCAAGTTAGAATACTGGAATTATTTGTTGACCACTTCTTTTTTGCAGTAGTCATCAGGGATCTGGACCCTTGAAATCTGTTAGGGATTTACCCAGATCAGTTTAAGGAGCTTATCCCATTCTACTCTTATACTCAGGACAACTGCAATTGCTGTCTTTGAGTGATAACATCTCTCCCCAGCACTCTCCTCAGAGCCTTAGCTACATCTTTATTCCGAAGAGTATAAATTAAAGGATTCAGTGTGGGAGTAATGATGCTATAGAACACAGATCCAACTTTATCTTGTAATGGAGTGCGCCTGGACCTGGGCCTCATATATGAGAACATGCAGGCACCAAACCAGAGGGAAACCACAATGAAGTGAGAGCTACAAGTGGCAAAGGCATTTCTCTTACTCCCAGCTGAACGCATCTGAATGACACTGTGGAGAATGAAGGCATAAGATGTAGAAACAAGGAAGATGGGGAGGAGGAGAAGTAGGACACTGCTGATGAATACTGTATTCTCATAAACAGTAATGTCTCCACATACCAACTTCACAACTGCTGGAAACTCACAGTAGAAGTGGCGGATATTTCGAGGACCACAAAAAGGGTACTGCATCAACATTGCGGTATAAATTAGTGAGTTTATGGATGCTCCCAACCATGACACAACAGCCATCATCAGTCCCACCCTTCTGTTCATGAGAACAGTGTAACGCAGTGGATGACAAATGGCAACGTAGCGGTCATAGGACATGAGAGCTAGGAGAAGACACTCAGCACCACCCACAGACAAATAGAGGAAGTGCTGGGTCACACAGCCCACAAAGGTGATGGACTTCTTGCCAGATAGGTAGTTGGTAGCCATCTTGGGGATGGTTGTGGAGACATGCATCAGATCCATGAGGGAGAGCTGGCTGAGCAGGAAGTACATGGGTGTATGAAGCTGGGGATCAGCACAGATGAGGAGAATGGTGAGGGTGTTGCCACTCACTGCAATCAGGAAGACCACCATGGTCAAGGAGAAAAGAAAAAGATGGGTGAGGGAATCATCAAAGAGGCCTTCAAGGATGAAGTCTGCTAGAGAGGTCTGATTCCTCTGCCACATCTCCCCTTTCTCAGTCCCTGGGGAAACAGGAAGTGGAGATGAAGTGTGATATCAGAAATACTGGTGTTCAGCATACCTAACAATAAGACCTTTTGATCGACAAAAGAATTTTTGGAAAAAATTTTTTTCTATTTCTAATTATTCAACAATTCATATTATTGAAATAACCTTTAAAAAAAAAGAAAGAACGTCAAATCTCTCTTCAAAACATGATCACTCTGAAATTCCAGAATATCTAGGCTCTAAGTGCCAAACTTCAAAAAAGAGTCTCCCTCATTAAGGAATAAACATACGTACACACACACACACACATATCCACACTAAATTTTATATATATATAAAGTATACATATATACTTTTTTTACTTATTATTTCAGACAGATTAACCAGAGAAGCTGAACCACTAAGAGACTTATACATTCATATAAGCATACATTTAATGGATTGTATAGAAATTGGCCTTACGCAATAGTGAAAGCTAGTTAAGCAGTCTACGTAAGGCTGTCACCTTCTGTCTGATGCTGGTACTTGAAGCCCAGGGGGCAAGCAGTCAGGAAGGGAAGATGGGTATAAAGTGTTGTAGATCAAGGGCAGGCTGGAACCCATGAGCATGAGCTGCAACCCCACAAGGTAAACTGAAACCCACGTAGGTTCTTGCTGTCTCTGGAATTGGTGGTAGGGTTATCTTGCAGAAGCTGGGGTCCTTCTTCATGAGGCAGAAACACGCACACCTGGCCTGGAAGTCAGAGAAGCTAGAGGAAGATCCAGGGGAAGCTGGAGCAATTGTAGGCGCAGCTGCTGCTTCGTACTACTGAGGTGAGTCAGCAGGTCACCAACAATGTCTGCAAACTACAGAATGGCTGCTCCCTTTTCCCTCTCAATCTCTCTAATCTCTCTTGTGGCCTACCTTAACCAGAAACACATAAAAATGGGAATTCTGGGAAATGTAGTCCATCATAGCCATGTAGACACATTACAAAACCACTAGAGTCCATCCCCTGTCAATCTGGCACACATGCACATCTCCTTAAGCCACACTTAATCCCAAAACAAACACAACAAAGTCATCCTTTTGCTTAACATGGTGTAACTATCCTGCATACAACTGAAAAGATGCCAAATATTCCTATAAAACAGGGAAGAAATATCCATTACTACTGTCCACAGAATGAGTCATCCTTTCCAAGTACTAAACCATTCTGTGATGTTAGTTAGCACTCTTTCTCAGTCACTCCTGTTAATGCCAATGGATTCACAAAGCAGGTGGTCATGACAGCCAGGATGGAAGCTACACATAGGCTAGCAACAGAGACTTCCACTCACCAAGGCCGATCTCACTACAGCCACTGCTGGTGCCCAATCTACCAATAGCTGAGACCAACACTGAGTTCCTGATACGGCATCATTCCACAAGGGTACAGCCAGCTACTTGGTGGTAGACAGTTTACAATGGATAGCTTCAATCATGGAAAGAATAGCATGCTATTTGTACTGGAATGGACCCTTACTCTGGATATGGATCTGCCTTCCTTTCCCACAGTGCTCCTGCCAAAACTACTACCTATTGACTTACAGAATGCATTACTCACCAAAATTGTATTCCACGAAACTTTGCTCCTAACTAAGGAGCTCATTTCACAGCAAATGAAGTGTGGGAATTGGCCCATGCTCATGGAACCCACTGGTCTTACTATATTCCCCATTACCCTGAAACAAGTGGTTTAATATAATGGTGGAACGGGCTTTTGAAGATTCAGTTACAGCAACAGCTAGTTGGCAACACCTCACATTGCTGGGACAATGTCCTCCATGATGAGGTAAATCCTCCTAATCTGCATCTAATTTATGATGCTGTTTCTTATGTCACAAGGGCTTATAGGACCAGGAATAAAGAGGTGGAAATGGGAGTGAGTCCTCTCACTATAAAATTTATAATTTTGATCCACCAGAAAAATTGATTCCTGTGTCTGCACTTTTAGGTTCTGCTGGTTTAGAGGTCTTAGTCCCAAAGGGAGGAAATTCTTCCACCAGGTGAGACAACAATGATTTCATTTACAGAGAATTGAGACTGCCACCCTGCCACACTTGGCTCCTCATATCACTGAATCGACAAGCAAAGGAGGTTACTATGTACTGCCTGGAGTCACTGATCCTGACTAGCAAGGGGAAATTGAGTTGCTACTACACCTTGGAGATAAAGAGGAGCATGTCTATAATGCAGGTAATTTTCTAGGGTGCACCTCTGTACTCAGATGGCCTGTGATGAAAGTCAGTAAAACACTACAACAACCCAATTCACACAGGACAGCTAATGGCCTAGATCTTTCAGGAATGAAGGTTTGGGTCACCCCACCACACAAAGAAGCATATCAACTGTGGACAAAGGGAATATCGAACGGATAGTGAAAGAAGGTTATTACAAGCACCAGCCATGAGCACATGAGCAGCTTCGCAATCAAAACCTGTAATAGTTATAGGCATTTCTTCTTTATTTTGATATGAATAACTTGTACATATATATTAACTACATATTTTTGTTTTTGTCCCCTTGGGCACCTTTTTTATAACATAAGATACATTAATATAGTTAGGTTCATATCTGAGTATTTAAGTTATAAGGCCTAAAAGCATTATAACTTGAATCAGATAGAATGAATTTCAGCTAAAGACAAAAAAAGGATTCTGTATCCTCTTATGGGAAAACAGTGGGTATGGTTTATATCCTCTTCTTGAGGAAAGGTTAACATATTTTTGGTTTTACCATGTTAAGTGGAAGGATAACTTGGTATTGTCTTAAGTTGAGGATTAGGTATAGTTTAATGAAATGTGTATGGGTGCTGAATTGACACATAACAAAGCCACCATAGTTACGCACCTGAAAAATAAAACAAGAGATACGTCTTCATAGACCTGAGAGCTTTCAAATTATGATCAAGCTGATAAAACTAGGATTTTAAAATTTAATAAGACAAATTTCCCAATAAGCCCTTTATCTACTCCTCACAGAAATACTGATCAGAATGAGAGCTTCATCTCCATGGTGAAGCCCAACTCAAAGAAATAATAATCTAAATTGATCCCCAGATTATCCACCTTATGCCTCTTTGTGTTTTTTCTCCTAAACATCTCCCTAGATCTTCACGTATTGCGCACTATCTACTTATGTTTTAATGCAAAGAACTCAGAAGTGAGTGTATTCTTCAAAGTATATTTTGACCTGTAAGAAAGAGGTCACATGTATCATCTCTCTCCATGTTAATACAGCCTAAGATCATCTTTGTGGCTGTCACCTCACACTGTTATTTCAAACTCAGCTTCTTCTTGACTAAGGACCCAGAATTCCCATGCTCCCCTTGATGGCTCCAATCCCAAAAAGACATCTAGACATTTTCATTTTACTATGTATTCATATACTTTCCTATCTCTTTCCTCATTAGTTTCCCTCTTTCTCTGTAAATCTCCATAGTGTAAGTTTTCTATCATCTGATTCATGTCTCTCTTCCTCCCTTAGGCAACTTACCTAAAAATTTCCCATTCTGACTTGTGTTCTCCAGCTGTTTTCCTCTGCCTTCTCAGGAAGCTTTCCTCAAGGACTGACCAGACATCACCCTCTGACTTAAGGGATGGAGAAACAAGGTGACAATGCAAGAGGATGACCTAGTTTCTAATAAAGGTTTCCTGGATACGTCAAGCCCCAAAATTTCCTTACCTGGAATTTCCTCTGCAGAGACTTGTGGGTAGAACAAGTATAGAAGTGAAATGGCGAGGGCAGGATAGGTCCACACTGACTCAAACATTGGCTACTGATCATCCAAACAAGTCTTTCTAAGGTGCTCATCAGACTTCCCCTTCTCTAACGCTGGAGATATCCATTTACTGCTGGAATGGCATAGAAGATAATGTCCTCCACAGTCATCCTGTTTCCTCCACACTACTTATCCTAGTGACAGGGCATAATCAGGAGCAACAGCACATGTAATTCTGTAATGATCTTGCAATGTGTACTCAGATTTTGAACTCCATCAGCACACGTCAGGACATATTAAGTAACTGAGCTTCTTTAACCTCTACTAGCTGGGCCTTTGAATCATGCATATGCTTCTGCTGTTTCTAAACATATATTTCAGGTGCATCTCCATAGCAAAATGGCAATGAGAGCTTGGGCAAAAAGGATTTCCATTAATGTTACCTGACTAAGAAGCTACACTTAATACCAGCGTAATTATTAAAGAGTCCAGAGTCAAAAGAAAACATGTTTTCTATTTTCTGCAATTTGGGATCACTCCGGACATTTTCTTCCTCACTTTACACCTCCTCCAAATTAATAAAATCAGAATTTGCCTCTAGCATTTGTTTTTAGAATAAGTGCCTTCTCGACTGTGGAATGTTTCCTCAGCAGGAATCATGGGGGTTAGGGTGAGGGCAGATATGGCAAGACGTGAGCCAATCATGGGGGAAGAGGAGCACCATCTGTGAGAAATAAAACATCCTCATAACCCAGAGGACCTTTGATGTCAGCTGGGGCAAACTGAAGGTGCTAAATATATTGCATCAGGGATTGCAACCCAGAGGACATATCCTGAATCTCTTCTGAAAACCATTACTTAAGATGCCAATTAGACTTGGTGTACGCATTGAGATGAGCATTCCCAAAGGGCTTTCTTGGAGTTTGTTTGTAGGAGTCAGAATGAGTTACTTTGATGAGCATGGCTCTGAAGACAACATGGGACTACCTTCTCCAAGGGCTAACTAACCATGAAGACAACAATTCCTAGAGTCTCTGGCTTGTTTTTAATCTTGGAACCCAGATCTCTCTATCCCCTTTCTATCAAACCCTTTTGAGAAGACAGTCTGAGAAAGATCTAGTCTCTATGGCCCACAGGACCCTTTGAGTGTTTCCCCATGTGCCTTAAGATAGATGAGAAGTCAAGGAATGGAGGCCGGAAATTACCACTATGTTTCCCACCCAATCTGGTGGTGATATTTCAATTTTATAGACTACATTAATATAACATGTGAAAAGATTTCAGGTACAGAAGTAAAAGAAGAAAATGGTGTATCCATATATCTCCTTCTTATTTACTCCCATCTCATTCTCATAGCCTTCTCTTCCTCTCTACTATAAGGACCTGTTGAACTATTCTTTGTTTCTCTATCTCAACTCAGATGATAAAATGTCTTACTTCACTAAGCTTACCTTGTTTATTCTTTGAGTAGGCCCAATATATCATCACTTTCTTCAAATTGTACCATCTAATGATTTTACCTGGTGCTCTCCTTCTCACCAGAATACAAATTATCTCTAATTAAGGCAGATACAGTATTTATATAATTCATTAACTTTTTTGACAAATATGTGATGAACATCTGCTATCTCCCAAGCACTGTATTGGGTAGCACGTGTACAGTGATTAACAGGTAACCATAGTCCCTTCCTCCGTGGGACTTATAGGTAAAACGAATAAATAAGTAATAACGGTATATCATATTGGGTAAAGAATTTGTATTAATCAAAGACATCATCATCATGGTGGTGTGAAATGATCCTTTGTCCTCTCCCCTTCAATCTACAGTGATTAAGTCATCCATAACCCAACAAAAGCTACATTGCAAAACACCCTAGGATACCAGAAAGATCCACACATCAATACATATGAAGGTGAGTGAATTGGAGCACACAGAGGAGGTTAAATGGGGAAACAGCAGAGGCAGAGCCTAGGATCCTAAACCCCCAGCCATGGCAGCTGACCCAGCTGCTCCCAGACCCAGAGAACCCAGTGTGCAGAAGCAGAGGTTTGTATGCATGTCTACAGCCAGACAGCAGCAGAAGCACCTGCAGCTCTGGGAAGTAGAGCAGCAATGGAGGTGGAGCCCCACGATCCATAGCCCCTGCCCTCAACTCAGAGGTTAGCAGCAGTGGCAGAGGTGTGCACAAAACTCCTACATCTCAAACTCAGTGGCACCTGGGACCACAAGGTAACAGGCAACAGCTGAGATAGTGCCCCAAGTACCAGGCTCCCTCCACATCCTACCCATCCCCCCACCACTCCAGTGGAACTTCTGACCCAGGTGACCTCAGACATGGGTGAGGCATGAGCCATTGCTGTGCCTCAGCAGCAAAACCAGCAACCACAGTGACACCAGCAACAGCAAGGCATCAGTGACCCCCCCCCCAGAAGTGCAAGCAGCAACCACAATAATATCAACAATACCCAAAATACAGGTGGTGGAGTTTAGAAGATGGAGATCCTCAAATATAGCGAGAGGCAGTTACGTAACAGAAACCAAAAACTAGCACTATAGCGCCACCTACTGAGAAAAAAACAGAAAGGCTTCTAAACTCCAAGCAGTTGAAAAGTTTGACTCAAAACAAAACAGTACCTAAATGAAAGATATGTCTGCTACAGAAATCAATTCTCCAGAAACAAAACATAAAGTCATCAAAGATTATGATCTAACAAAAATTCAAAACAACTATCATAAAGAAACTCAATGAACTACAAGAAAATTCATACAGGTAATTTAATGAGCTCAGGAATAAAATCAATGAGCAGAAGGAGAACTGTACCAATGAGATTGAAACTTTAAAAAATAACCAATCAACTCATTTAATGTCAAGATGGTGGCATAGAAGGACTCTAAAATCACCTCCTTACACAGACATAACAATTTACAACTACTCTTGGAACAATTATCCTTGAACAAGAACTGAAAACCTGGATAAAAGGATCCCCCACAACAAGGTACAGTGCTGACTGAGGTGGAAGAGGCAGAAATTCCTTTCTGGAGAGGAAAATGCCACCTTCTAGCTTCAGTGCTTCATGGCCAGCTGAGAGAAATCTTAGGGTATGAAGCCTTCCCTGGAGGAGTGGGGGATCTGAGCGGGGGAGCATTATCACAATAAGCAGCTTTTGGACTCAGCACATCTGAAACAAGCATCATAATGTCTGGCTTTCCTGGCTATTAACAACAACAGGGGATACACTCAGAAAAGCTATCAGACATAGGGTGAAAAAGCCTGCTCTTTAAGGCCCCACACACAAATTCATCCATTTTGAAAAGCAACATAAAGCATCAGAATGAAAGGTGCACAGTCCTTTGGTGAAAAGACTCACTTGATAGGCTCTCATCACATCTCAGTGAGAGGTGAGATCTCCCCAGGCTGGGACCACCTCCCAAGGGACTGAGACATTGGTAGCAGCCATCACTGTGACCTAGTTCAGGGTGCTGACACAGATGCTGGCAAACCCCATTGGAGTTCTTCCCCTGGCCTGTTAGCCCAGGGTCTGCCCCACCAACTAGAGAACTAATTTAATCCAGTTCAGCCAGGGCAGGAAGCCTGCCATAGGGGCTGGGCCCACCCAACAGCAAGCTCTCAGGGAACTTGCGGACCTGAATAGGTGGGGTGCCTGGAGCCTCTGTAGCTGGACAAGTGGGTCCACATCTGTGAGGCAGGGCCTGCATGAGGGGTGGGCCTGCATTGGTGGAGTGTGTGGGGCCTCTGCAGAAGGGGGACTGGGTCTGCTTCAGTGGGTCAGGGTGTGCACATGGGGCAGGACTATGTTAATGTGGTGTGTGGCCCTGGTAGCAGTGGGGCTTCTCAGCTGCAGCAGACTTGTGCTTCTCAAACAGCCACAAAGAGGATTGGCCCCACTCTCCAAAGCCAGAAACAATTGGGTGCTCCCATGCATGGAGCTGGCACCACTCAGCTGCAACCCTGAGAGAGCTGACAACAGCTTTGCAGGCTGGAGGCCTATAGCAATTGTAAGCTCCTGAGCCTAGCAGCCAGCCATGCTGAGGACCTACTCACTTAATAGAAGAACTGCAACACGAACGTCCTATTAGACCTTGCAGCCAACTGTGCTAGGGCTCCCCATGCCTGATAAAGTGACTGAAGCGACCATCACAGCCACACACAGCTGAGCATGACAAACAACTGGCCATGGGACAGCCTACCCTCCCCAGGCACCTGCAGCAAGAGCAATGCTGCCACAACAGAAGGACACATGTAGCCCCCACAGAGCTCACTCCTGGGACATTTGGAACTGGTGACAAGAGGAAAGCATACAGCTGGGCTTCATAAGGCATCTCTTACATAAGGCCCTCTCTCCAAGATCAGGAGATGTAGCTGACCTACCTAATACACAGATATAAGCACAGAGAAAGAGGCAAAATCAGGAGACAAAGGAATACGTTCCAAGTAAGGGAACAGGACAAAACCCCAGGAAAAAACTAAGTGAAACAGAAATAATCTATGTGACAAAGAGTTCAATCAAAAAGTCATAAGGATGCTCACTGATCTTGGGAGAAGAATGGAGAACTCAGTGAGAACATCAACAAACAATTGGAAAATATTAAAAGGAAACAATTAGAAATGAAGAATACAATACTGGAAACGACAAATTCACTAAAGGGACTCAATAGGAGAGTAGATGATACAGAAAAATGGAGCAGCAAGTTGGACAAAAAACTAGAGGAAATCAACCAAGCTAAACAGATAAAAGAAAAAAGAATTAAAAAGAATTAGGATAGTCTAAGGGACCTCTGGGACAACAGCAAGTGCACTAACATCCATATGATGGGTATCCCAGAAGCAAGAGACAAAGGGGCAGAGAATCTATTTGAAGAAATAATAGCTGAAAACTTTCCAGGTACAGGAAGCACAGAGACCACTAAACAAGGTGAACCCAAAGAGGCCCACACCAAGACACATTATAATTAAAATGTCACGAATTAAAGATAAAGAGAGAACCCTAAAAGCTACAAGAGAAAGGCAACTAGTTACATACAAAGGAAATACCATAAGGTTATCAGCTGACATCTCACCAGAAATCTTACAGGCTAGAAGGAAGTGGCACAATATATTTAAAGCACTGAAAGGAAAAAACCTACAGCCAAGAATACTCTACCCAGCAAGGTTATCATTCAGAATGGAAAGAGAGAGAAAGAGTTTCCCAGACAAGCAAAAAATAAAGGAGTTATCACCAAGCAACTGGTTTTACAAGAAATGGTAAAAGGACTTATTTAAGTGGGAAAGAGAAGACCACAAATAGGAATAAGAAAATTATCCCTCCCTAAAAAGCATTAAATCACTGGGAAAGGCATAGATACAGTAAAGGTAGCAGTTCAGCCACTCACGAATATAATATGAAGGTCAAAAGACAAAAGTACTAAACTTACCTATTTCCATGATAAGATGGGTCATGCTCACACACACAAAAAAAGAGGTTATATGTGACACCAAAAACATAAAATGTGGGAGGAGGGGAGTAAAAGAGTAGAGCTGCCCAGTGGCTCAGCTTTTAAGTGTACAAATTCCACTTTGGTGGCCCAGGGTTCACTGGTTCGGATCCTGGGTGCGGACATGGCACCATTTGGCAAGCCATGCTGTGGCAGGTGTCTCACATATAAAAAAAAATAGAGGAAGATGGGCACAAATGTTAACTCAGGGCCAATCTTCCTCAGCAAAAAGAGGAGGATTGATGGCAGATGTTAGCTCAGGGCTAATCTGCCTCAAAAAAAAAATTAAGAGAAAGGAACCCAAACATAATACTCTTAAAGAAAGCCAGTAAACCATAAGGGAAGAGAGCAAGAGAAGAAGAGACAGAGAAGAACTACTAAAACACCCAGAAAAAAAATAACAAAATGGAAATAAGTACATACTTATCAATAGCTACTTTAAATGTCAATGGACTAGATGTTCCAAACAAAAGGCATAGGTTGGCTGATTGGATAAAATAACAAGGCCCATATATATGCTGCCTACAAAAGACACATGTCAGATCTAAAGACACCAACAAACTGAAAGTGAAGGGATGGGAAAGATACTCCATGCAAATGGCAATGAAAATAAACCTGGGGTAGCAATATTTATATCAGACAAAAAATAGATTTTAACATTTTTTTTTTAAGATTTTTTTTACTTTTTCCTTTTTCCTCCCCAAAGCCCCCCGTACATAGTTGTATATTCTTCATTGTGGGTTCTTCTAGTTGTGGTATGTGGGACGCTGCCTCAGGGTGGTTTGATGAGCAGCGCCATGTCCACGCCCAGGATTCAAACCAACGAAACACTGGGCCGCCTGCAGCGGAGCGCACGAACTTAACCACTCAGCCACGGGGCCAGCCCACAAAAAATAGATTTTAAAGCACAAACTTTAACAAGAGACAAAGAAGGGCACTACATAATGATAGAGGGAACAATCCAACAATAGCATATAACACTTGTAAATATCTATGCACCCAACAGAGGAACACATAAATATATGAAGTAATTAGTAACAGATATAAAAGGAAAAATAGAAAGTAACACAATAATAGCAGGGGACTTTAACACTACACTTACACCAATGGATAGATCATCCAAACAGAAGATCAATAAATAAACATTGGCCTTAAATGACACATTGGACCAGATGGACTTAATAGATATATACAGGACATTCCCTCCAAAAACTGTAGAATTCACATTCTTTTCAATTCACATGGAACATTCTCCAAGATTAATCACATATTAGGCCACAAAACAAATCTCAATAAATTTAAGAAGATTGAAGTGTTGGGAGCTGGCCCTGTGGCCAAGTGGTTAAGTTCACACACTCCGCTGCAGGCAGCCCAGTGTTTTGTTGGTTCGAATCCTGTGTGCAGACATGGCACTGCACATCAAACCACGCTGAGGCAGCGTCCCACATGCCACAACTAGAAGGACCCACAACGACGAATATACAACTATGTACTGGGGGGCTTTGGGGAGAACAAGGAAAAAAAAAAATTTTAAATCTTTAAAAAAAAAGAAAGATTGAAGTGATACCAAGCATCTTTTCTGACCACAATACTATGAAACTAGAAGTCAAATACAGAAGTAAAATCAGAAAAGAGACAAATATCTGGAGATTAAAGAAAATGCTACTGAACAGTGACTGGCTCAATGAAGAAATCAAAGGACAAATCCAAAAATATCTGGAGACAAATGAAAATAAAAATATGACACGCCAAAATTTACGGGAAACAGCAAAAGCTCTTGTAAAGGGAAGTTTATAGTAATACAGACCTACCTCAACAAACAAGAGAAACCTCAAATAAACAATCTAACAGTGCACCTAAAGGAATTGAAAAAAGAAGAACAAACAAAACCCCAAATCAGTAGAAAGAGAGCATATTTCAAAGAAATAGAGTCTCAAAAAAGAATAGAAAAAATCAATGAAACCAAGAGTTGCTTCTTTGAAAAGACAAACAGAATTAACAAACCTATAGCTACACACACCAAGAAAAAAAGAGAGAAGCCTCAAATAAATAAAATCAGAAACAAAAAGGGAGAAATTAAACAGACACATCAGAAATACAAAAGATTATAGGAGAATACTATGAAAAGTTACACACCAACAAATTGGATAATCTACAAGAAATGGCTAAATTCCTAGAATCATACAACTTTCCACAACTGAATCAAGAAGAAATAGAAAATTTGAATAGATCCATCACCAGTAAGAAGATCAAAACAGTAATCAAAAACCTCCCAAAAAATAAATGTCCCCGACCAGACAGTTTTCCTGGTGAATTCTACCAAACATTCACAGAAGACTTAATATCTATCCTTCTCAAACTTGTCCACAAAATGGAAGAGAAGGGAAAGCTTCCTAACACATTCTATGAAGCCAACATTACCCTGATACCAAAACCAGACACGGACAATACAAAAAAATAAAATTACAGGCCAATATCACTGGTGAACATAAACGTAAAAAACCTCAAGAAAATACCAGCAAATCAAATTCAATAATACATTAAAAACATCATACACCATGATCAAGTGGGATTTATTCCAGGGATGAGGGATGCTTCAACATCCACAAATCTATCAAAGTGACACACCACATTAACAAAATGCAGAATAAAAATCACATGACCATCTCAATAGATGCAGAAAAAGCATTTGACAAGATACAGCATCCATTTATGATAAAAACTCTAAATAAAATGGGTATAGAAGGAAAATACCTCAACATAATAAAGACCGTATATGACAAACCTACAGCTGATATCATTCCCAATGGAGAAAATACTGAAAGCTCTCCCTCTAAGAATAGGAACCAGGCAAGGATGACCACTTTCACCACTCCTATTTAACATAGTATTGGAAGTCCTAGCCAAAGCAATCAGGCAAGAAAAAGAAAGAAAAGGGATCCAAATTGGAAAAGAAGAAGTGAAAATCTCACTATTTGCAGATGACATGATTTTATATATAGGAAACCATAAACAATCCACGAAAAACATTTTAGAAATGATAAATGAATATGGTAAA